TCACAGCAGTCTTCAAGGATGCTCCCTTCACAAATTTGTTCCTCACAGTTGTGGTAAAAGGTGTGTCCTCCAGGCACTCCAGGTGTGGGTCTGTGGGTCTAACCTGATAAATCCACTCTAGCATGCCAATTTCCCTAAGCCTTTGGATACGTTCTTCTACAGTATACTAAGGCAGGTCTGGTACTTCAACTTGATTTAGTATAGGCCACCTCGTAATCCATGCTTCAGCAATCCAACCAAATAATCTATTAGATCCTTTCCTAACTTCTCGAGCTGACACATTGAATGACGAATCTGTGCTTAGCGGACCATATCAATAAACTCAGACTGATCCATCTTTATGTTCCTTGCAGCATTATCCCACACCCTTAATAGCCATTCCCACACATTTACCTAAGGTTTCTGTTTGTACATATTAGAAAAGTCAAGCAGTTCTTTTGGAGTATAGTGTATCTCCTCCTGGGTCACACTTTGTATTTCATCTTTTGGGGCACACTGGGACTTAAGTCTAGTTATAGGCCTAGAAGCCAGAATCAGTAGCGTGGAATTGTTTTGAGAACATTCAGCATTGTCTTGCAAAGTATCTGCCTCAGGCGATACCCCAGGCAATGACTCAGGCAAGGGCTCTTTAGAGGCAGCCGGGTTAGGAGGAGCTCATTAGATGGGAGTGGAGGAGCTAATGGTTTTTCTGGGTAGCAGGGTTTAGCAGACACACATGAAGTAACCTCTTCAGATGGGAGTGATTCTGCTGGCAGGAGTGACTCAACGGAATTTAGGGGCTCAGTGTCCCCAGCTTCCTGATTATCTGCCCATATGTCCCCATCCCGTTTCAGGATCCCTTTTCTTCCCAATCAATGCCCTTACTTTAACTTCAATCACCTCTCGAGGCTGGCAATTGAGCTGGCTGTTGTAATTCAGCCACTCTTACAGTAAGACTCTGGGTTTAGTTTTCGGCAATTTCAGCTCTGTTACTACAAGAAATAAGGCTTTCTTTCAAAGCACAAGTGGAAGTCTTGAGGTCATTTATGCGGCACTAGAGCTTTGACTCTCAAGCCCTGAATGCATCTCTTTCTTTCACCAGTTTGTCTAGCAAAAGTAGGACCTACCAACCAGCTTCCTTATGCTTCTCATTCTGACAAAACTGTAGAAAGATATCACACATGTGTTTACCCACAGCCTCGCTTTTCACCAATACCTGATCTACTGGTGGTGATATTTTGCATATTTGTAGCACCACCTCACAGCATAGATTAGCAGTGTCCTATTTACTGTTGGAAGCAAAGTCATCAACATCTTTAAGACTAACCAGACTTCAGAACAAATTTAGAAAATTCATCCTTACAATTTTGCTTCTCTAGAACCACTTTCGGTACCAAATGTCTTAGGCTGGGTTCTCTAGAGAAGCAAAACCATTAAAATGTATAAATATATATATAGATAAAAAGATTTTTATCAAGGAAATGGCTCATGCAATTGTAAAGGCTGAAGCATCTCAAGTCCACAGATCAGGATAGAGACTTCTTGTGATTTATGCAGCCGTAGGGGCCAGCGAACCTAAGACCGGCAGGTCGGAGAGCAGGGCTCTTGCTCACAGGCTGTGAAGATCGGTGAAACCCAAGACTGGCAAGCAAGATCACAAGGCTTCTCCTGATTCACATAGCTGCAGGGCTGGCAAACCCAAGATTGTCAGGTCGGACAGTAGGGATCCCGCTCACAGGCTGTGAAGGTCAACGAATCCCAAGATCGGCAGATAAGCTAATAGCTCAAGTCCCAAGAACCGGAGGTCAGACGAACAGGAGGCAGCCGCAGGATCCAGAGCAGGCAAAAGCCAGAACGTCTGCTTATATTCAGATGCAGGCCACACCCCCAAGGAAACTCCCTTTCAACTGAATGGCTACTCACAGCAAATTCCATCATGGGAGTGATCACATATAAACACTGAGAATCATGGCCCAGCCAAGTTGACACACAATCTTAACCATCACAATGAGCAAAGGATATGAACAGACATTTCACCAAAGAAGGCATTCAGGCAGCTAACAGACACATGAGGAAATGCTCTCAACCATTAACCATTAGAGAAATGCAAATCAAAACTGCAATGAGATACCATCTCACCCCAACATTACTGGCACTAAGAAAAAAAAACAGAAAATAACAAATGTTGGAGAGGTTCAGGGAGAATGGAATTCTTATGCACTGCTGGTGGGAATGTAAAATGGTACAACTACTATGGAAAACAATATGGTGCCTCCTTAAAAAGCTAGAAATAGAAAACCATATGGTCCAGCAATCCTACTCCTAGGAATATATCCTAAAGAAATAAGAGCCATACCACAAATAGACATATGCATATCCATGTTCACTGCAGCATTATTCACAATAGCAAAAAGATGGAAACAACCTAAGTGTCCATCAACAGATGAATGGATAAACAAACTATGGTACATACACACAATGGAATACTACACAAAGGTAAAGAACAATGATGAATCCGAGCAACAGCTCACAACATGGATGAATCTGGAGGGTGTTATGTTCAGTGAAATAAGTCAATCACAAAAGGACAAGTATTGTATGACACCACTATTATAAAAACTCAAGAAAAAGTTCACACACAGAAGAAAAACAATCTTTGATGGTTACAAGGGAAGGGAGGGTTGGGGAGGGGAAATCACTAACCAGAGAGTAGACAAGTGTTAACTTTGGTGAAGGGAAAGACAACACACAATATAGGGGAAGTCAGCACTACTTGACCAAGGCAAAGTCATAGAAGATTCCTAGACACATACAAACACCTTGAGGGGCTGAGTTACTGGGGCTGAGGGCTGGGGATCACGGTCTCAAGGGACATCTAGGTCAACTGGCATAACACAGTTCATAAAGAGAATGTTCTACATCCTACTTTGGTGAGTAGCGTCTACAGTCCTAAAAGCTTGCAAGTGGCCCCCTAAGATACATCTATTGGTCCCAGCACGTTCGGAGCAAAGGACAATGAAGAAAACCAAAGACACGAAGAAAATATTAGTCCAAAGGACTAATGGACCACGTGAACTACAGGCTCCACCAGCCTGAGCCCAGGACAACTAGATGGTGCCTCGCTACCACCACCGACTGCTCTGACAAAGATCATTATAGAGGGTCCTGGGCAAAGTGGGAGAAAAATGTAGAATAAAATTCAAATTCACAAAAACAGACCAGACTTACTGGTCTGACAAGTGACTGGAGGAACTCCCAGTACTATGGCTTCCCCAGCACCTTGCTAACTCAGAACTGAAGCCACTCCCAATGTCCACCTTTCAGCCAGAGTTTAAACAGGCCTATAAAACAAACAATAATACAGATGAGGAACATGCTTCTTAGTTCAATCATGTATAGGAGATCAAATGGGCAACACCTGCCCAAAAGCAAGACAAGAAGGCAGGAAGGGACAGGAAAACTGGATGAATAGATACTGAGAGCCCAGGGTGGGAAGGGAAAAGGAGAGAGTGATGTCAATTGCAGGGACTGCAACTAATGTCACACAATAACTTGTGTATAAAATTTCTGAATGAAAAAAAAAATGTTGATTATATCTTGTTAAATGACTCTCATTTCAAACCCAGTAACCAAAATAATGATTGTATCTTGAAATCCTGAGTAATTTGCTCCCTTTTTTATATGCTTAATCCTACTGAAATATTTTGCTTATATAATCTTGATTTTAAATTACTATAATGGAGAGGCTGTAGGAAAGCAGGCATATCCTATGTTACTATTGGGAATGTAAATGGATACAATCTCTTTGGAAGGTAATTTGACAATATTTATTAAAATTATTAAATGCTCATATCCTTTGACCCAGCAACAACATTTCAAGAATTTATCCTACAGGTATACTAGCACATATGCAAGAAGTTAAACATACAAGGTTATTCATCTCAGCAATATTATGATAGCAAAAGACTGGAAACAACATAAATGTCCATCAACTGGGGACAGGTTAAATAAATTCTGATCTATCCATATAACGTTATACTATATACAGGTGGGGGGCGGGGCGAGACCTGGGGAAGCACTTCATGTATTGATATGGAAAAATCTCCAGAACAGATTGTTGTAGGAATTAAAAAAAAAAAAAAGGTGCAGAGCTATATGTTTGTGTAGAAAGAGGAAAAAAGAATATATATCAGTTTTGTCTGTATATGCACTAAAAATCTCTGGAAGTATATATAAGAAATTAATGACAGAGGTTATTTCTTTGATAAAAAGGAACTATATTGACCAGAAACAGTTGTATTAGAGATTTTTTTACCTGTATACTTTTTTATGCTTTTTGATTTCTGAAACACATGAAAGTATTTATTATTCAAATTTAAAACAATTTAATAATTAGAAAAAGAAAAAATACACTTTAGGGTGACACTTGGCTAGAAGCATTAAATAATAAAATTAAAAGCACCTTTCAACTGTAACGTATCACTTATTTGAAGGATAACTAAATAGAACTTGTTCCTTAGTTTATTTCAAGGGTAAAAATCAGAAACCAACAAACAATTTCCAATTCAAAGTCTTTTTGTACTTCTACAGGAAAAAAATAAGCAAACGATTTTCAGTTTAACAACCATTTTAAAACCTAAAGACAATGCTGGCTTAAGGGATGGTCAACTAAAAAACACAAGATATTGAGAAATATAAACACATTTTTATTTTCTGATAGGTGCTAGCAGTTTAATAAAGATAGAACCTTGTATTTAAAACCAGTAAACACCTGGACAATAGACATATATATCAGCTCAATTTATTCAATTAATTTGCATATATAGCTTCCTATTACAGACTTTACCCAGTCCTTAGTCTTTAAACGTAATCTATTTAGGCAAAATACTCCATGTATAATGCACATTGTTTTAAATATAAAACTAATTTCTATGTTTTCTCCCTTAAAATGAAAACACTGATTTTTAAAAGAAGTAAATAAATAGCAGTTATTTATAATAGAAAGATCTAATGTCCATTACCTTATGAGAAAGCAGCTTTCCATCACCTAATGGTTTTCCAGTTGCTGCCTCAAAGAGGAAGATTACTTGGAAAAAAGCAGAACATTAATTAATGGGTTATATTAGTGTTTTAACTGGTAAATTTCAATGAAATTATCAAAGTCCTCATGAGCACTTATTTAACTCTCTGGATCACAGAGTATTTTTCAGTGCATCAGAGCAAGAATCATCAAATTCACATTTATTCATGGGGCCACACTGTTTATGAAAACAGTGGTACTGAACACTTTGTAAAACACACGTTCCCTAATTTAAATTGTTATTTAATTTATTAACAGTATGTTGTCAATGCTCCATAGGCTCAAAATGTCAAGTCCAAATCTGGGTGTGATCTATAATTCTGACAACTCTGTTTTAGATTAATATAACATCGAAGACAATCATATTACACACACACATACACACACATACATACACACACACACACACACACACACAAATGTGTTGAGTGCTTACTATACTGCCAGGCAATGTCTTATATGCTCTTCAACTCCTGTCAATATATTACCAACAAAAGAGAATCTCAATAAGTCAATAGTATTATATTACAAATTGATGGCCTTACTTTAGAGTCTTCAATTCAAAGTTCTAGAATACCAGAATGCCTGGCTCCAGCTCAAGATTCACTCCAAGTGGAGTTACAAAAATATTGTTTCAAATACTCATCTACGCTAAATAACACTTGAGCATAAGGTGCATTCAGCTGGAAACAGGTACATTTTATTAAAACTCATATCTAAAATATGTAATATTAAATAATAAAAATATACAAAACTCAGGATAGTCACTAGAGTTTTCAAATTTAAGTTTATTAAAGGCAAAAATTTGTCCTCCAAATTATTATTATTAGCAATTTCCTAGCCATCTGAAATCTGTCTACTAACTAGATAATATGTTATTTTATTCTCTATTCCTTTTTCTTAGCCATAAAGGAAGCCAATTAAAAAAAAAAAACAATTACCAAATGTCCTCTCTGAGAGAAGGCCTAAGGTATGAAGACATGGAATAGCTCTATTTAAGAGAGTTATATTTCCTACCAGTACGAGAGATGATGCCATCTGAAAGTACTAAAAATTTTAAAGTGGAACAGTGATAAAGCAATGCTTTCATAAAGTATACTGGGAGGCAGGGCCAAGATGGCGGAGTAGTCAGATGCTTCCAGTGGTCCCTCTTAACAACAAAGACCCAAAAAAACAAGTGAATAGACTATATATGACAACCTAGGAGTCCTGAACATCAAAAGCAAAGTTGAGGAATCAGACTGAGTGGTAGGCGGAGGGAGAGACGCTTCAGAAGCAGCGCGGAGTGGCCAGATCTGACCCGAGGACACCACCACCCTGCAAGCCAGATCGCCTCCAGTGCACGGTGAGGCAAGCAGTGGCGCTCAGGACACGTTCTCCACGTCGGGAGAGACCAAGCGGCAGAGAGTCTACTTAAGCCTCCAGAACCAGTGAAAAGTGGTGCTCAATCGGCAAAAGATAAGTACGTGTGTCTAACCTAGTACGCGGTTCAAAAAACACCCCCTTTGGAAAAAACTTCTCTCCCATTTACCTGCCCCTCCCCACTCTGCACTGGGTCCCAGCCAGCTTCAGTGATTGCTGCACCCCCTGGGCTGGAAGTAGGCCCCGTCACGTGCCCTGAGCCATTCTCCTGGCCTTGGAGAGGGAACAATTAATAAACAGGGAAAAAATAATCTGCCAGCTCCCCTAAGCCAGGAACTCAGGGTAGGCACAGCTCCTTTGCCTAGGCACTGGCGTAAGAGGTTCACGGATTCTGAATGCCTTTCACCCCTGCCTAGACCTGTGTGGGCCCATTTCAACAGCATAGGCCCTCATGAGCACAGTACAACAGGGTATATACTTGAAGCCTAACTTCAACTGTTTCAGATATATGGGGAAGTGGCAGGTTTGTGACATTTGACACAGCTCTGTCTATTAAGCAGGCTCCTCACCTACCTACATAAGGGGGCTGAGGACTGCTGGCTTCACCCATGCCATCTAGCCACCCGCAACGGTCTCAAGAATAAGTGCTGCCTCCCAGTCCTTACAGCCAACAGCACTGGATGTCCATAGTTCAGCTGCAAAACCCACCCATCTATGTGCTCTAGAGAACAGGGACACACTTTCCTCCCAGACACTCAGGGGCAGCCATCAGCCCTCTGCCTTGCTCAGCACATGACTTCCTACTGCAGCCAGATACCTGTACCTACACCAATCACTCCTGCCCATCTAGGACTGTAGGTGAGAGCTGGCATCACACACTTGGTGACCAACTACCTGGACATCTGAGCTGAATCCACACAAGAAAAATAAACAGACTCCTAGGCTCACAACACCTAGTAACAGATCTAACCACTTGGTGACAGGACATCAGAGCTTCAAAGGTGTCAATAATCAAATTAGTTCACAAGAGCAGCCTTTTGGGGCATATCAAAACAAAACAAAAGAAGCTAGGACACAGTAAGCAAACATAAAATAAATAAATATAATAGCTTATTGACAGCTTGGAGACAACAGTCAATATCAAATCACATAAAGAGGCAGACCATGATGGCTTCAGCAAGCTCCCGAAAGAAAGAATCAAGAAATCTTCCGGGGGAAGAGAATTTCTTGGAATTACCAGAGGTAGAATACAAAAGATTAACATCCAGAACTCTTCAAGAAATCAGGAAGGAGATCAGGCAAAACACAGAACAAGCCAAGGAACACACCAACAAGGCAATAGAGGAACTTTAAAAGATTAGAGAAGAGCATAATGACAAATTTAACAGGCTACAAGAATCCACAGACAGCAAACAGAAATCCAGAAGATTAACAGTAAAATTTCAGAATTAGACAACTCAATAGAAAGTCACAGGAGCAGAACTGAGGCAATGGAGGTCAGAATTAGTGAGACTGAAGATAAAGCACTTGACACTAAATTACTTAAGGAAAAATCAGATAAAAGAATTTTTAAAAAATGAAGAAACCCTAAGAATTATGTGGGACTGTATCAAGAGGAATAAGCTATGAGTGATTGGAGTACCAGAACGGGGGAGGATAACAGAAAATGGAGAGAATTGTTGAAGATTTGTTGGCAGAAAACCTCCCTGATATCATGAAACATGAGAAGATATCTATCCAAGATGCTCATCAAACCCCACACAAGATAGATCCCAAAAGAAAGTCACCAAGACATATTATAATCAAACTTGCCAAAACCAAAAGAGAAAATTTTAAGAGTGGCTAGGGATAAATGAAGTCATCTACAAAGGAGAGTCAATAAGACTAAGCTCGGACTACTCAGCAGAAACCATGCAGGCAAGAAGGAATGGGATGACATATATCAAGCCTTAAAGGAAAAAAATTGCCAGCCAAGAATTATAGATCCAGCAAAACTGTCTCTCAAATATGATGGTGAAATTAGGGCATTTCCAGATAAACAGAAGTTTAGGGAATTTGCAAAAACCAAACCAAAATTACAAAAAATAGTAAAGAGAGGCCTCTGGTTAGAAAATCAATAATATCAGATAACTACCCAAGACTAGAACACAGGACAGAGCAACCAGATATCAACCCAGATAGGGAAGTCACAAAAGTAAATCAAAGCTAGAACACTGAAAATAGGGAAACAGAGATGTCAATATGTAAAAGATGACAACATTAAGACAAAAAAGAAGGACTAAAAAATGTGGTCATAGATCTTTCATATGGAGAGGAAGTCAAGGCAATATCAAGAAATAAAAGAGTGGTTTTAACTTAGAAAAACAGGGGTGAATATTAAACCATTTCCGAAGCCAGCTCTTCTGACAAAGATTAGTCTGAAGTATAATACGTAAAATGATACTTGTGAAGAGTATGCTTCTTAGCTCAAGTAGATACATGAGTCTAAATGGGCAGCTCCTGTCCGGGAGTGAGATGAGAAGGTAAAAAGGGACAGGAGCTGGCTGAATGGACACAGAAAATCCAGGGTGGAAAGGAGGAGTGTGGTGTCACAGTATAGGGAGAGTAACTAGGGTCATATAACAATGTGTGTATAAATTTTTGTATGAGAAACTAACTTGAACTGTAAACTTTCACTTAAAGCACAATAAAAAATAAATAAATAGAGGGTACTATGGAATCCCAAAACACCCAACATACTTATATTTATAAATACTAATGTAGTTTATATTTTATAAAAAATTAAAATTATTCATAGCTCTCTTCTACTTCATTAACTTAATATATTAATTTAAAATAGAGGTATAAGCAAAATAAATAGTACAATGAAGCACAATATTTACTATGTTATCAAATGAAGAAAAAAGGAATATGAAAAATGATCAATACATTTAAAAACTATCATGCATTTTTAAGACCCACAATCTTGAATTCAAACAGCTACTGAATATATAAAGATTTACTCCTTACCACTGAGCAGTGCTGTTGTGACAACATCTGTTTGTTCCATCAACTGGGCATAATACAACAACTTTAGTTCTCTAATTAATTCATGTTTAGAACAAATTGAAAAAAAAAACAAACCCATTGCCATCAAGTCAATTCCAACTCACAGCAACTCTATAGGACAGAGTAGAACTGCCCCATAATGTTTCCAAGGAACAGCTAGTGGATTCAAAGTGCCGACTTTTCCGTTAGCAGTCAAGCTCCTAACCACTGTGCCACTAGGAGGCTGATAATTTCTTTCATATTAGTTTAACATATTAATAGACGAGAAAATGAAAGTTAATTTACAAAGATTTTACACTGTAAACAATTTTCATGGAAATTTGACATGGAAAATTATAAAAATATACTTACTTTTTTCATCAGCTTTATCTTTTATAGCTATGGTATCATTACTCAGAGACACAGTTTGTGCATTCAGAGTATCTGTTCTCATTCCAGGAAATTTTGGAGAAGAAATAAAGCGCCCTTCATAAGAATATAAATAGATACCGCCGCCATCTACAAGAAGAAAATGTCTAAAAAGTAAAGAATAAAAATAAATTTTCAAATAGGAGTGAACTATATTATCATTTTTATGTTAGAGAATCGTTTATCCTGTGCAAAAATCTAAATATTACAATTAAGATAATAAGTACATGGAAATATAAAGAATGAAAATATTAAAAAAATAAAAGTCAATATTGGCTGTTTTGGTTTGTTTTCCAGGTTTTTGTTTTTTGATGGAGGTAGGGGAAGAAAATGAAAATGCCCATAATCACCACACTATAAATTAAAATTTGACTGATTTTAGGTTATACTTGCAATTCATTTCTCTTCCTAAAGAAGTATCTCTATACAAAGGCAATCTGAAAATCTTATCATTTACTATTCAGTGATCTTAACACCTTGTGATATTTGTTTCATGGAGCAGTGATAAATACTCCATAATTAAAGATTAAACACTAGTTAAAATCCAAAACAATGAAAATGACTCAAAAATTAACACCAGGGACAGTATTTATTAAAACAAGATGCTTCTGACTTTTAAATTATATGGTGATCATCGGTAAGTGTATTCACATTTGAAAACTCACACATTTTTTACAGCAGAGACTCAGGTTCATTTGCTGTTGACAGCTATAATCAAGGTATAGGGTTCCATGTAGTTAATTTTTTATTAAGTCAAAACATAAATATTTTATTGTTGTTGTTTTCTTCCTTTGAAAATTTATGATTATAAAAAAATTCAAACAATATGGAGAAAACAAGACTCCTTGCAACCCAACCTCCACAGAGATAACTGTGGCAAACAGAAAATATTGACATATCATAGCTATATTAACTCACTCCTCATGGACATTTATTTTGTTTAAAATTATTCACAATTTTAAAGAACACATAGAATGTATACACATCTGTGTAGGTCTACTCTGCTCATTTCCTTAGTATAACTTCTAGAAGTGTAATTACTGGATCAAAGCGTATATTTATAAATATTGCCAAACTGCTCTTTGAAAATTGTACTGATTTACATGCATGCTACTGCTACACTGAAGTGCCTACTTCTCAATGCTCAAGACGTTATTACCCCTAAAAATCTTATGTTCAAGGTCTTTGTATCATTGATTCAGAAATATTTCTTGCTTCAGGAACTGCTAACTGTTCTTTCTTTCTATGGAAATGATCGGGAAATAAATAAACACCAAAACCAATGAAAAGTTGTATCTAATGAATACCAAATTATGCACTTCAATTAAATTAATACTTGAGGTATTAACTGGATAAACCCCAATCAAACCAAACCCATTGCCGTTGAGTCGATTCTGACTCATAGTGACCTTACAGGACAGGGTAGAACTGCCCCATAGGGTTTCCAAGAAGTGGCTAGTGGATTCGAACTGCCGACCTTTTGGTTAATAGCTGAGCTCTTAATCACTGAGCCACCAGGGCTCCATTAATTGGACAGCTTATTTAATTAAGTCCATAGGTGGTGCAAATGATTAATGTGATCAGCTGCTAAGTGAAAGGTTGGAGGTTTGAGTTCACCGAGAGGTGCCTTGGAAGAAAATCCTGGTGATCTACTTCTGAAACACCAGCCATTAAAAACCCTATGGAACACAGTTCTACTCCGACACACGCGGGACTTGACAGCAACTGGCTTAACTGGTTATTTCACTGAAGGATTTGGCCTTTACAAGAGGCTACTAGTGTATAGAAACAATATTTGTTAATCTTGACAAAGCAATACATCATTATTAGTATATATTCTTTGTCTGAGTACTCAAAGCATTTTCTCTCCTAAATAACTTTTAACCTCACAGTGAGTAAAAACCCTGTTTCGGGGACAAATATCTCTAAATACACATATAAGACCAGTGATGTAGGAAGTTACTAAAATATTTTTACCTGATCATTGATAGCATTGACATATGCCTTTACTAAGGGCATACTCAATAAATACATTTATAAATAATTTATAAATAAATAAATTTATTTGGAACTGTTAAGAGTAAAAAGAGTTTCAGAAATAGTGTTGTAGATAGCTAACATCTCATCTTTTGAATGGCAAAACTGCCTTTTTGTTTTAAAAATTTACGATAAAACTAAATACATAATCACATATTTCAATTTTATTAAATAGATGATACAAAATTTGACATACGTTCTTGATCACTCAAGGTCATCAATATGATGATACTCTTCAGCAACTGTCTGACTGACAGCTTTGATACTTATGAGAATCTGCTGGTGCATCTGAATAACTACCATATAAGTAGATACAAGAGACTAAACAGCCAGCTCCTGTCTGGAGGTGAGATGGGAAGGCAGACAGGGTTAGGAGCTGGTGGAATGGACATGGGGAATCAGGGGCGGAAAGGAGGAGTGTGCTGTCACAGTATGGGGAGAGCAATTAGGGTCATGTAACAATGTATGTATAAATTTTTGTATGGGAAAACATAAAAAAAAAAAAAACTTAAGAGACAAATTAACTAAATGCAATGTGTATAGTTTGTTTGGTGATACAACAAACCAATATAAAAAATATGTTTAGACTTAGAATAGGCAAATGCATGGAGACAGAGTAGAACCAGGGTTACCAGGGGCCAGGGTAAGGGGGTAATGGGGAGATACTGTTTAACGGGTATAGAGTTTCTGTTTGGAATTGTTATGGATTGAACTGTGTCCCTCAAAAACATGTGTTTTCACTGTTTAACTGATAGCTTCGATACTCATGAGAATCTATTGGTGCATCCGAACAATTACCATACTACTCAGCTACACACGTGTGCTTTTACTTTTCTCTATAGTCCCTTGCCAGGCAGTCACTTTTCTTCCTGTCACTGGGCCAGCCTCTAAAGCCCAGCAGCACTGTTCCTCTTCTGCCTTGCTATTTATAAAAGGCTGTGGGCTAGAAAACCTGATAATAAACACTGTTAAGAGCTGCCTAGGTGGTGAGTAAGGGGATGAGGAAAACAGTACATGGTTTTAGTACGAAGGTTTTACGGGCGGCTGTTTTAGATAATTACAATTACATCACATTTTCATACTTTATTCCAGGTTTTCTTGGGTTGCGGTTTTCTAAGTCTGACCTCTGCTTCAGGGTGTCAATGTTCTTGATAGACAATGCACAGTTTTCATGGAACAGACTGACTTCAAACGACTAATGTACCATTTTGTAAATGACATGTTTTAAAAAATGGTTTACTGTTATTTGAGATATTTTAATCTCAAATCCAATAGTCAAACATGATAAACAAACTACCTTTCTGCCTGTAGAATGAGACTAACAGTTCCTTCTTTGAGATCAAATATAAGTGGTGTGTTCCAGTTCTTCGTACTAAAAGACAAATAGGATGGATGTTTATTAGCATTTTAAATATCAAATACCTTTTAGTAAGTAGACAGGTACTCATTTTAAATAAAGTGACTTCTGTTTTATAGTAACTTTGTACATATTTCTATTACAGCACTGACACATTGCTCTATAACCATTCACTCACAGGTCTGTATCTCCAACTATAAAGTGGAGGCTCCATGTCCCCAGTACCTTGCACACAGTAGGCACTGAATAAATGTTTATGGTTCATATCATAATACTGAATTGAAGAATCCTAAGAATAAGCCCAACACCATAATTATGGTGGTGGTGAAGAATACTGAACATTCCCAACTGCAAATGGCTCAGGACAGACTGTTCTGTTCTGTTGTACACAGGGTTGCTAGGAGCTGGAACCGACTCCATGGCACCTAACAAGAAGAAGAAGCAGCCCCAGTTCTGCCGTTTATTAGCTGTGTGAGTTTGGACAAGTCACCTATGTTTCTTATGTGGAAAACAGTAGCAGCATGACACAGTGAAAAAGGGATGGGCTTTTGGCTAGACAGATCTGGATTAGAAATGTTTCACCACCTGCCAGCCATGTGATCTCAGCAAGCTTAACCTTTAAGCATCAATTTCCTTATTGTAAAACGGGGATAATGATGACTTATGTAAACTGGCTGGCAAACTGTCCCTTATATAGCAAGTTCTTAACAAACAGAAGCTCTATAATAATAATAACATTATGAACATGATTAGTTCTCTGTAGGTCTCCCAGTGTTATTGTTGGACTGAAATAAGATTTTTGTGAAGCATTTTGTAAATTCTAAAATACTATGTAAATGTAAGGTATGATCATGCTTCTTGAATAAAAGGATGAACAGATAAACAAAAACTCCTTTTGTTGTTACAGGGTAATATGATTCAAAGATTGGACTGGTGGAGAGAACATTTACAAATTGAAAAATCCATCCCTAAATAATCAAAGTTGCCTCACAGTTTAAAATAATTTTTACTACACCTATATATTCTGAGCGGGAGAAAGATGTGGCAGTCTGCTTCCATAAAGACTTACAACCGTGGAAATGCTATGGGGCAGTTCTACACTGACCTATCGGGTCGCTATGAGTTAGAATCAACTCGACGGCAATGGGTTTTAGTGGGTATATATTCTGAATCTTTCTTAATTACTTGCATACAACTGATTCTTTAAATCAGATTAAATCTCATATTAAGATCCAGTTGATGGAAGCGATAAGCAAATTGGTGGGCTTTTTTAAAAATGCTTAACTATTCACAATTCCTGAAAGTGTCATAGTGATTACCTGAGTTTTCTGAATAACTGAAGAGTTAGCTGGTGGTGTGATGAAGTCAGCTTACTAACACTGATTATTGAATTTTCAGAAATTCTGCAACCTGTTATAGTCATTTAAGAATGACTATATAATTATAGTCATTATAATTATATAAGCTTACATTAAATCACATTCAAAACAAAGGTAATACTCAAAAGTCACCACTTCCAAATTACTTTATTATATGCGCCTGTTATTATGCACTTGAGATTATTTGTATCTATTGTATCTACAGGGTAAAAAAAAAACAAAAAAACTCGTTGCCGTCGAGTTGATTCTGACTCATAGTGACCCTATAGAACAGAGCAGAACTGCCCTATAGGGTTTCCAGGGAGTGGCTGGTGGATTTGAACTGCCAATCTTTTGGTTAGCGCCCAAACTCTTAACCACTGCACCACCAGGGCTCCAATACATAGGGTGGAAATTCTATATAATGGTTTGCTACTGTGTATCTCTTGCCAAATCCGCTTTCAGTGACATTACCCTGGTAGCTTGAAATAAAAAATCAGCAAACACTGAAAAAAAACAGGTTTGCTTCTGTCCAGAAAATTAGTTATTAAACATTTATCAGTACTCCTTTAAAACAAGTGTATTTTTAAACAGTTTTAGGTGTAACTTTCTTCCATGTATCGAATCATTCCTACCTTCTAATACAGAGTGTACTGATACAATTTCTTTCATTATTTGTGGCTATCTCTGGGCCACTGACATGAACCTACACGATTACTCCAGGCTCTATCTATAGCAAGCCTAAATACAGCCTTGTGTCCTCACTATGTTTCAACTCCTCCTGCCTACTGTCAGGCTGCTAACCCCTCACAGCAGATGGGTGGTTCCTTTTCCCACCACTTGTTCGCTGCGCCCAATCTGCTTTGGGCTTTGAAATCAAATTATACTAAATTCCTTAGAACTGCGTGTAAAGTAAGGGTAAACACGATCTTGGAGAAGGTCTTTCCTATAAGGAAAGTGATTATTAATTATCCTTTGATGGATAATCTTTATTAGATCTATGTTAACCGCTCATAGCTCAACTTTTTATCACTTCCTGGTTTGGGGTAAATTCAGGATAGGTGAGAGTCTGAGAAAGTTAAGTTTAAAACGAACTATGCTGAAACAAAAACTTGAAAATAAATTAGTCATCACAGACCAAACTCTGTTTTCTTAAGAAATGCAAGATGCTTACGAGAACACATAACATTGAAGAGACGTAGAAACAACTAAGTGTGCATAGTTCAAAGATGCTTTGATGACTCTATCACGGAATTCCAGTAAATCCACTGCATCATTAAGAACATTACGAACCTAAACAAGGAAAAATGAAATTACCAACAAACAACATAAAAACACATTAAAATTTTAAACGGTATTCAATAAGTTAGCAACATTTTGAAACACACAGAAATTCAGTACAGTCTTGATTAGTTAGTCATATAAAAACAGAATTCAATAGGAACAAGGCATAAGATGGTATACTTGGGTATAAAAATCAACCAACAAAAGTGCAGATATCGAAAACCTCTTAGAAATAAGAAGGAAAAGACCCACAGGGATTACTAAACTGCAAGGCAAGCTGAATGAAGTATCAGTGTAGCTTAATATGAAAAATGCTCTAATACTGTCATATAGTCAAAGGAGTACAGCAGACAGGAGTTGGAAAGAGATTGTGATTTCTGCCTACATTGGTAAGAATAATTTTTTAGAGTTGTATTTTAATTTAAAACTTAAGTTCTAAAAAAAAAAAAAAGGTATGACTTTAAAAGTCAAAAACAGAATAGGAGCTACTAGTAAAGAAATCAACTGCATATGCAGAAGCCAAGCTGCACTGAGGAAGTCAAGTGTTTCCACAGCAAAAACACAGAGATAATATATAAGAAAGCTAAGCACCAACTAGCAAAGGGAGATTGGCCTATGACAATCAAAACTGTTATAAAAGTTTATAACAGAATAAAGGCTGCAATGATTTTAACACTTGGCAGTATAGACCAAAAGTCTTCATGTTGATGGATATTCTGCAACAAATCAAGAAAAATGTTGGGCAAGTTATATTTACCCAATTTCTGATCAATACCAGAATGGGTAAGGCAGTATAGTAAGGTGAAAATCAGAGAAAAATAACTTAATTGTACCTAAAAGTTAGTGTTTCTTTAAATTTTCCTCAAAATGTTATCACTTGTCTAAGTATAATGTTACAATTATAGTATCAATGAAGAATGAATATAAGAGAAAGATAGGAAGATATAGACAAAACTTTGGGGGTTTCAACATTTTGTAAGGATTAACCCTACATTAAACAAACAAACAAAAAAGTATCTTCTACCTCCTTCTGATTTTTAAACACATGGTTCTAAAACATGAAATAAACATGCTTTTGTAAATTAGACTATCTAACCACTCTTTAGTTTATCATTTCCAGAGGAATATGTTTAAACCAGATGAAAATGCATGCTTAAGACTACAACCCATTACATGTTTGAAACTTCCTATAAAATGTTTCATACTTACTTCCTAACCAATTTCTAAGCATAACTGATAATTCTATCTAGTGGACTGAAAGGGGCCAAAATATTTTGCCTGGAGAAGCTGACATTTTAGACATAGTTTATATTCTCTCCAACCCTCGTTGGAGAGAATATAAACTATGGATAAAGACGGCTACTACTGAAGATGATTTTAAACATGTCATTGCATCTCTGAACTACAGTTTTCTCATCTATAAAATGGAAATAAAAATAATACTTACCATAGACTCAAAGGCTTAAAGCTATTGTGAAGATTAAATGGGATAAATTATATGAAAGTATGTGTGCTTGGCACACAGGAGATACCAGATAAGTATCAGTTTTTAATACCTTCAAGTAATACAAACTCCAAATTTAAGAATATAAAAAACAGAAAAGGAGAGTGCTCTATATCTAACCCCAAACTTAATAGTTTGATGTCTATTATTTGAGACCCCTTATATGTATTCCACTACATATACAATATATATGCAGTATTTTAGACTTGTTCTTACCAAAATGGATCATTTTATATATGCAATCTTCCCCAACTTGCTTTTTCACTTAACATTTATCATCCTCATCTTTTCATGTCACATGCAGATATATCGTGTTCATTTTCATGGCTGCATGGTGGTATTCTACCCATGAACGGATAGTTAGGTTGTTTCTAGTTTTTCTTACTATAAATGTTTTTGCGATAAACATCTTTCTACAGTTGTGCGAGTATCTCTGTAAATTCTGAGTTGTGAATCTGCTGGATCAAGGAATATGCCCATTTTTAATTTTTATACATATATATCTTGTCAAATTGCCCTCAAAAATGTTTAACTTTCATGCCCATCAGAAGTTCCTGTTTCCTTATATCTTCAAAAAAAAAAAAAAAAACCCTTGGCATTAGCAATCTTTACTTCAATATTAGCTCAAAAAAATGTTTTTAATTAATTTCCTCTTTATGCTTAGGAAGCTTTACAGCAAAGACTGCTTACATAGTTGTCGGCCAAAAAAATAGCTAACATTAATAGAAAAAGTTTCATGCATAATAAATAACAAACACAAACATATGAAGTAACAGTAAATGTCACAACTATACTGTGCATTAAGCAGATCATTATGAGAATTTGGGATGATATAGATTTGCTGTCCACATTTCAAAAGTGGAGGAGGTCCACAGACACAAGAAAAAAAAAAATACAACTTCTATACAGAAAGATGAAAGAACAGGAGTCATTAGCTTGGGAAGTATTAAATTAGTTGTTTTATTAAGTTTTCCAAGGACTAAACCGTAAGAGAATAAGTTAAAGCGAGAAATAATCTTGCTGAACTTTAATTTATATCCATAAAATTAACTTATATTCACATATTTTATTCATGTATCTATCTACATATAATCAGAGCCAAGAACTATTCCTACATGTAGTATCTGTGAAATATGGGCTTTAAAAGGTAGATTATTTCTGCAAGGACATTAAACCTTTAATTCTGTCACCAGCCCTTTATCTCCTAGAATCTTATTCAAAGCATTTATAACTACCTGGAATATTATATTTTTACTATTAATGAGTTTTTATTGTTTGCTCCCCAACTCCCACCCCAAGAAATAGCAAACTCACATACCCATTTACTCCTTCACCTAGCCATCTCATGTCTAGAATTCTATCGCAAAGACAGACGAGCAAAAATATGAAATAACATACGTACAAGGCTATTCACTACAGTGCAGATGATAACAGAAAAAGACTATAAACAGCCCAAATGTTCATCAGTGGGGGGTAGCTTGAGTAAACTATGGTACATCCAGACCATGGAATACTATACAGCTGTAAAAAGGGGTATAGAGTGGTCTCCAGGATAGATTGTAAAGTAAAAACAGTAAGACGCAGAAAAGTATACAGAGTATGATACCTTTTAACTGAGAAAGGAAATGATTTAAAGATATATGGATTTGCTTACAATAATAAAAAGAAAACAAGAAATCTTAAACAGTATTCAATAATTATATTATTAGAATAATACTGGTGTTATTATTTTTAAACCATATTTTAGAATAAAGCAACATTAATGTCTTTAGGAACCAAAATTTTTTTTCTAAGAGAAAAGGGCTGCAAATAAAAAGCCAAGGGTAAAAAAACTCTGAATTTTACATTGGAAATCTAAGTATGAACTCATGACACATTTTATCTGTCAAAAATAAAATACATTTTGTCTAAAAGTAATGACCAAACCAGTAGCAATGAGCACCCACAGAACTCAGACTGTAGTCTCTAAATAACATTTTCCTCCAAAAGGAACAAGGTTATCTTTGAAAAATGACTGATTCCAAGTCTGGGACAGGAAATGTACAGGATAAGCAAGGAACATCTTGTCACACCAGAAAGCAAGAAAGCTACTGAAATCATATCAAAGGAACACAGGAGCCAAATAACCAAAGATGGGACAATTTGTGCATTACAGAAAATAATGACTGCAAAGGGTTATAACACATCAAAAATGCTAAAATGCATGAGTTCAAAATGACAACATCAACAACAACAACAAAAAGAAATGTATTGTGCATGCTGGGAAACCAACTCATTACTTCAGAACTGGTGAATAAAGAAAAATAATTCAGCATTTGTCACATCTCGGGGTAATCAAATGGTTGATGAGGCAAAATCGTTTATTGAAGAATTCTAGCCAATAAATGCAGAAGGAAGGACAGGATTACAAGATTTCCATTTTGCAACCCCAGTGAAATAATGGAGCTAGACAAGGATCATCACCGGCTGCTAAAGCATGGCAACAGCCTGATGGGAAACTGTATGATGGATGAATCAGGCTAACAACACCTGAACACAACGAAGAATCTTAACCGCACTACAAGAGACCAACATACTTCGTGCTTCCTGATGTGATGCAATGGGAAGTGCAGGGCATCATTTACAAAGCACTTACACTTGCCAAGGCTCTAAGTCTAATAACCAGTCTATGGGAAATATAGAGGATAGATGTACACGTCAGATGACATCATACCACAGAGATACAGTCAGGTAAATCCAGAATGTGGGAACTTCAACACAATGACCTGCTTTTCTTAACAAATACACTGCAAGTAAATAAATAAGGAGGAACTCTTTCAGATTTAAAAAGACTTAAGAACACCTAGGTCAACTGGCATAACAAAGCTTATTAAGAAAATGCTCTGCATCCTACTTTGGTGAGTGGCGTCTGGGGTCTTAAAAGCTTGCAAGCGGCCATCTAAGATGCATCAATTGGTCC